TATTTAATGTAGATTTGTTTATCTCAGAAATCAGCCATTAGAAAAATAGATTTATTTTTAAAGTGATGTAATATCAGAATTATTATTATTAAAAACATATATACTGGAGAAAACTCCAGTTCAAGCATGGTCCAAGTTATGAGTCATCACTCTCTTAATAAATTGTGATTGCGTTGATTATTCTATTGCCTTCCCAAGTATTAGCTGGTGTTCTCACTCTATATTAATTAATACATCCACACTGGTAAAGTGGTGATGGTTTGCATTTAACCTAAGGGCTTACCCTGAATAGCTAGTACTAATTTAAGATACATAATTGTATTACAATATGTTCACATTTTAATGTTTATATTTATTTAATTTGTAAATTCCTAAAGTTTAGAATTCTAAATCAATTACAAGTTCAAATTAATACTGTTAAACTCTTAACAGTAGTCTCAGAAGATATATTTTCATTTTGCTTTTGAAAGTGAGAAATATGAGGTCATATCATATGAAATTAAAACTGTTTGGGGGCAAAAAACATAAATGTAACCTTTGGTACACTAAAATCAAAATCTGTGGTACTTGTTAAACATATTTGGGTTATAATTTGTACTAAATGACAAACATTGTGTTTAAAAATAGAATTAAAATGTTATTTTTAAGAGTCACATCAAAAAGCAAACAAAAAATAGAATAAAACTAAGTAGATTCACAAACATTTCTCAAATGAAAGCAAGAGGACATATTAATCAGCTAAATATGACAAATGATGTTCCACAGAATAAAGAGAGTCACGCAGACTTTCTATTGCTAAATTAGAGATTCAGAATTACATGGATGAATATAATTAACTCAAGATGTAGACAACCTGAATAAAACAATATTTAAATTTTTTTCTGTAATTAAAAAGTTACATTAAAAATATGTTTTTTAATGTTTTAACTAGTGAAATTTCTTAAGTTTTTTTGGGAGAATTTATTTATTTATTTATGAGTTGGAGTCTCACTCTGGGGGAATATTTATTTGTTTGTTTGTTTGTTTGTTTATGAGTTGGAGTCTCACTCTGTCGCCCAGGCTGAAGTGTAATGGCATGTTCACGGCTACCACAGCCGCTGCCTGCTGGGCTCAGGCTATCTTTCTGCCTCAGCTTGAACTACAGGCGTGTGCTACCATGCCCAGCTGATTTTTTTCCCCCCATATATTGTAGAGATAAGGTCTCTCCAAGTTGCCCAGGGTGGTCTTGAACCCGTGGGCTCAGACGATCCTCTCACCTTGGCCTTCCTAAGTGCTGAGATTATAGGCGTGAGCTACCGTGTCTGGCAGTAGTAAGTTTTTAAAAAGTATCTTAATTATCTATGTAAGTAGAATTTTTGTCAGCAAAATAAGGATCATTTAATATTAGAAAATAGATTAATATCCCAGTGTCTCTAATAAGGAAATCTGCATGACCATTTATCTCAGTGCATAAAAGGCAATCAAATAAACTTAAATACCCAGTTCTTATATTAATGTATTTTTTAAATATACAGAAACTAGACGCAGTACTTTTTTATTGTGGTAAAAAGCACTTCATAAATTTTCCCATCGTAACCATTTGTAAATGTATAGTACAATGGTGTTAACTGTATGCATTTTGTTGTGTAGCAGACCTCTAGAACTTGGGAAAACTGTAACTGTACCCACTAAGCAACAACTCTCCTTTGCTTCCTCCTCCAGCCCCTGGCAACCACTGTTCTTTTCTCTGCTTCTAAGTGTTTGATTACTTTGGATACTTTTATAAGTAGAAACATGCTGCCAGGCACCATGGCTCATACCTGTAATCCCAGCACTTTGAGAGGTTAAGGCGATAGGACTGCCTGAGCGCGGGGGTCCGAGACCAGCCTGGGAAACTTGGTGAGACCTCTTCTCTACAATAAAAAATACAAATAAAAATTATTCAGGTGTGGTGGCCTGTGGTTCCAGCTACTTGAAAGGCTGAGGTGGAAGGATCGCCTGAGCCCAGCAGTTCGAAGCTGTGATAGCCATGAGCATGTAAGCCTGGGCGACAGAGTGAGACTCTGACTCAAAAAAAAAGCAACAAGTAGAATCATTCATTATTTGTTTTTTTGTGGTTGACTTATTTCACTTAGAATAATGCCCTCAAAGTTCATCCATGTTGTACCATATGACAGTATTTCCTCTTTTTTTAAGACTGTATGCATAGTCGTACATTTATACAGTCATACATATAGTCATACATACAGCCATTGCATGTATAGTCATGTACCGTATAACAGCATTTTGGTTAATGACAGACTACTTATACAACAGTGGTCCCATAGGATAATAATGCTGCATTTTTACTGTGCCTTTTCTATATTTAGATATGTTTAAGAATACATATACACTATTGTGTTACAATTGCTCACAGTATTCATTACAGTAACATGCTGTACAGGTTTGTAGCCTAGGAGCAATAGGCTATACCATAAAGCCTAGATATGTAGTAGGCTACACCATCTAGGTTTGTGTGAGTACATTCTATGATGTGTACATAATGAAATGTGTCTGATGGCACGTTTCTCAGACATTTCCCCATCACTCAACAATGCATGACTATATACCATGTTTTCTTTGTACATTCATCTTTTGTAAGACATTTGGGTTGTTTCCACCTCTTGGCTCTTGTGAATAATGCTGCAGTGTACATAGGTGTAATACGGTAACTCCAAATCTGAGAGGGCTTGCATGTAATGTTCTTTACCTATTCTAAAGAAGACACTCAGCAGGGAAAGACATTGGTTTATTAGAACTTACTGGCAGCACCAAGGGCATCCAGTCGGTGTCCATGCTCAGGACAGTACAGCAAGCAATTTTATAATCAAGCAAGTTATTCAAATTTCTGTACGGTATTTACAATGACAGTGCATAAGGGTGTCGCCCACATTGTTCTCAGCTGTGCTTGATTACCTGTATCCTGTGACTCAGTACTGAAAATATTATATGCATATCCTTCAGAGACAAGTCTTATCCAGAGGCTATTCCCTGAAGGAGGAGGCAGACAGAAGCTAGGTATAGGGGGGATATAGTCTGTGTTTGAACAGTGACTTCTCAATGAGTGTGAAAATAAACTTTCAAGATCTTGCAATTCTTTTGGATCTATACCCAGAAGAGGGATTGCTGGATCACGTGGTAATGCTGTATTATTTTTTTTGAAGCACTTCCCTAATGTTTTCCTTAGTGACTGCACCTTTTTACATTTTCACCAACAGTGCACAAGGGTTCTGATTTCTCCACATCCTCACCAACACTTGTTGTTTTCTGGTTTTTGGCAGTAGCCATCCTAATGAGTGTGAAATGATATATCAATGTGTTTTTGATTTGCATTTCCCTGATGGTTACTGATATGGAAGATCTTTTCATATGCTTGTTGGTCATGCATATATTTTCTTTAATGAAGTCTCTGCTCATGTCCTTTGCTTATTTTTTAATCATGTTGTTTTCTTAATTGTTTAGTTGTAGCAGTTATGTATACATTCTGAATATTAATCCTTATCGGATAAATGGTTAGCATATATTTTCTCCCATTCTTTAGGTTACTTTTTCATTCTGTTGGTTGTTGCTGCATTGAAGTTTTCAAGTTTGATGTAGTCTGATTTGTCTCTTTGTGCTTTTGTAGCCTGTGTTTTTGGTGTTATATATAAGAATTATTGCCAAATCCAGTGTCTATTGAAACTATTATTCCTCCATTGTGTAGCTTTGGCACCCTTGTGGAAGATCATAGATCATATACTTGAGGTTTTATTTCTGGGCTGTTTGTTCTGTTGGTTCTTATATCTGTCTTTATACTGAGACCATTCTGTTCTTATTATTGAAGCTTTGCAACATGTTCTTTTCATTTGCTTGGATTTGTTTTTATTTTTAGAGATGGAATCTCACTAAGTTTCCCAGGCTGGTTTTGTACCTCCAGACTCAAGCAATCCTACTACCTCAACCCCCACCAAATAGCTGAGATAACTGGCAGGTGGCACCATGCCTTGACTCTGTAATATGTTTTGAAGTTGGGAGTGTGAGGCCTCTAGCTTTGTTTTTGTTTTTTGGTTTTTTCCTCAAGAATGATACTGTATATTTGGGGTCCCTTGAAATTTCATATGAATTTTAGGATTTTTGTTTTCTTTTTCTGCAAAAATGCCTTAGAGATTTTGATAGGGATTACACTGAACCTATAGGTCATTTGGGGAGTATAGACATTTTAACAATATTAAGTCTTCTGACTGGGCATGGTGGCTCAGACATTTAATCCCAGCACTTTGGGAGGCTGAGGTGACAGGATCGCCTGAGCCCAGGGCTTCGAGACCAGCCCAACTTGATGAGACCTCATCTCTACAATATATCACAAATACTTGCCAGGCATGGTGGTGTGTGTCTGTACGCTGAAGTGGAAGGATTGCCTGAGCCCAGCAAGTTGCTGCGGTGGCCATGAGCATGTCACTGCACTCTAGCCTGGGCAACAGAGTGAGACTGGCTCAAAAAAAAAAGTCTTCTAATCCATAACACAGGATGTTTTTGTCCATCATTTTGTTTAGTCATACAGATTGCCTTCTGTATATCAAGGGATGACAATAATAATTGTAGTAATAGCTAACATATATCGAGGGTTTATTATATGTTAAACATTGTTCTAAGACTTTTATTAGTTTGTTTAATCTTCATAATAATCCTTCGACATAGGTACTGTTATCATCTTCATTTTACAAATGAGGAATGAAAGCGCAGAATGGTTAAGCAACTTGCCCAAGATCACACCAGCTATTAAATGGCAGTGCAGAATAATGAATGATTACCTGAACATGAGATATTTGAATCATCTATATAATATTTCTACTTAGTTACTTAATAATTCTACTGATTGATGACTAGATGTCTAAACAATGTTATTTAAATTTTAAATAAATGTTCAATGTTACATTGAGTCCACTATAATTTATTAAAATAAATGAATATATATATTTATTTTAAAAATTTTTTTGGTTCACAGGATGGACAACCTGAAATTTTCTATAGGTTTTGGAATTCAGTTACACAAGCACTTTCTTCTCAATTTCATATGGCAACAAACTGTAAGTTTACTATTATATTTTTGCAAATTCATTTCAAAGTTTTCAGTTACTTTAAAATTTGATATCAAGAAGTTTTGCTCTATTTGTTTGCAAAACTTTTTTGTTTTTAAGTTGGGGTCTCACTCTGTCACCCAGACTGGAGTACAGTGGCATGATCATGGCTTACCACAACCTTGAACTCCTGGGCTCTAGTGATCTTCCCACTTCAGTCTCCCCTACATCTGGAACTCCTTGAGTGCGCCATCATGCCTGACCAATTTTTGAATGTATTTTGTATATAAGAGGTCTTGCTATGTTGCCGAGGCTGTTCTTGAGCTTCTGGGCTCAAGCAATCCTCCCACCTTCGCCCCCCAAAGTACTGGGTTTACATGCTTCAACTACCAGGTCTGATCTACAAAACATTCTTTATGCTTGTTTAAAAACTCCAAGCTAATTGTCATTTCTTCTAAACATTTAGTCTCTTAGCCATATAATTAATACTTAGAATAAAATTCTCTAGAAGAATAAATTTATTTTCTAAATTCAGACATCAGAAGAACTCTGAATTTTTCTTATGTGGAGGGAATAAAGTAATTCATGTTGAAGAACTTACTTCAGTTTTAGAATTATCTTGATTTCTAACTAAAAGATATAAAAATACAGAGACTTTATAGTACCTTATTGTTGAAAATGAGGATTTAATGAATAAGTGGGTGAAATATCTGCATCATGAATTAAAATTTGAAAATTCAAATATGTTTCCCAAAACTTTTAAAAATGTGTTTATGTCATGAAATAATGCCACAGGTTAGGTCTATACAATTTAAACTATGCAAACTGCCCAATATCTTATGCAAGTGTTTGTCCAAATACTTTATGTAGGAGCAATGAATGCACTTTGGTTTTTAAACTTTGGTTTTGGGGTTAGGAGTTCATTACTGGTAAAATTTTTATTGACAAACCTTTACTGAAAGTAACTAATATGCTGAACGTTAGTCATTGGGACCCCAGGATTGAATAAACTGTTCTCCTGGCCTCCCTACTTCATTCTAATGATGTGTGCAGCAAGGCAGTAACCACAAAGAGTTCTTCATTCATCTGTAGCCAAATGGAACTTAAGCAGATGTTTATTTAGGACTAGTTTACTCCATTTATTTGTAAAGCACACTACTCATCTAGGAAGAAAGTAATTATTGTGTGTCTCTTTGCATTAGGTTTCTGGTTTTGGTCAACATTATTGAGACATAATTTTTATACAATAAAATTAATCAATTTTGTATGTATGTATGTATTTGTTGATTTTCAACTTTATTTTCTATCTTGATTCAGGGAGTACATGCAGGTTTGTTACATAGGAATATTACATGATGATGAAGCTTGGGCTTCTATTGAGCCCAACACCCAGGTGGTAGACATGGTACCAGCAGGTAGTTTTCAGCTCTTCCCTCCCCTGCTTTAGGTGTTTCCTAGTGTCTGTTGTTCCATCCTTGTGCCTGTGTACATACAGTGTTTAGCTCCCATTTATTAAGGAGAATGTATGGTGTTGAGTTTTCTGTTTCTATGGTAGTTCACTTAGGGTGATGATCTCCAGCTGCATCCTTGTTACTGCAAAGGACATGATTTTGTTTTCTTTTATGACTGTAGTATTCTGTAGTATATATGTACCACATTTTTCTTATCCAGTCCACCATTAATGGGCACCTAGGTTGTTTCCATGTTTTTTGCTATTGTGGGTAGTGCTGTGATAAACATGCCCCAAATTCACCAACTTTAAACATAAAAATTCTACGAAGTTTGACAAATATTTTCATTAATATGGCCATTATCACAATTAAAATATAGAACATTCTATCATTCCTAAAATTTCCCTTATGTACTTTTGCAGTTAACCTGTGATTTTTACTCCTTGGCTTGACAACTAATGATCCTCGTTCTATCACTATAATCGTATTTAGCTTTTTCTAGATTTTATAAAACTGGAGTCATACAGTATGCATTCTTTTTTGTCAGTGTAATTATTTTAAGATTCATTCATGCTGGTACATTTGTCAGCCACCCATTTCCTTTTTTTGAATAGTATTTCATTGGGTGCATGTATACCACAATTTTTTAATCTGTTCCTTGGGGAACAATTTGGTTGTTAGAGTTTGGGATTATTATGAGTAAAGTTACAGTGATTATTTACATACATGTCTCTTTTGTAGACATGAGTTCATTCTCTTGTGTAAATGTGTGGGGGGCCAGCCCTTGCAGAGAGATTTAGGGGGTCCCTTGGAAGGTGTGGCAGCGTCGGCGATTATTTTGGAGAAATAAAGAGAAAGAAAGAGAAGAGGGGAGAAAGAAAGAGACTGACTCCTGTTTAGGTGACCAGAAGCCGTTTAATGAGTGTAATCTCAGGGCTTTTATCCCCAAACTCTGCAAAGTCATCATCACAGGAAACAAAGGTAGTATGTGCCTTTCACATGAACAGGTCCAGGTGCACAAAGGACACCCCCCACTCTCAAGCAAATGTTCTTTTATACGTAAGGAAGAACATGAGGAAGAACAACCACAAATTGTCTTTTTGTATCTTATGCTAACTTAATGTTTCCCAAACCAGTTTCTTATGTGTCCTTAATTGTATTATAACTACATCATCTTGAATTAACATCACTCAATGTCTAAACCCAAAACCACCACAGTGAATTATTAACTTCCACTATTATGTACTAATTTAAACTAATTTTTATTAAAACAATTGCTGTTATGGTTACACTCTCCTAGCACCAGCTGGCCTAATTCAAACTTCACTGGCCCCTCCTAAATAAAACTGAACTAACCATACTTTTATAATAAAATGGTTATTTAAATTTTTTTAATCTATATAAACTATTTTCTAAAACCTATATCTATACATTTCTAAAGGTTGCATCAAGAGAACCTGTGACCTGTATTAAGGCTCCTCAGTGTGACTCAAAGCCAAACTTAAATTGTGATAAAGCAAAAGACCATAAGCCATGGGGAATGAAAACAATAGACTCCTAGGTTAGCTGTGTACATTCTGGTCTCAGAGTTTTCTGTTAGAGCCAGCTGGAGCTTTTCTTGGTAGTTTGTGCCAAATGGAAAAGGAGGGAGGGAATGGGTCAACAGCTCCCAAACACATCCTAGTGGTCTCAGGGTCAACGGCCCTTCCTGATCCCTAACGCTCAGTGGGCCTCCGTGGCCGGCTCCCAACATAAATGTGTAGAAGTAGAATTGCCTACTCATTTGGTTAAATGTATATTTAACAATATATAAACTACAAAACAGTTTTCCAAAATAAATATACCATTTTGCATTTTCATCAACAATGTGTGATAGATCCACTTGCCCTACATTTTTGTCAATCCATGATTTTGTCAGTCATTTTAACTTTAGTCATTCTAGTGAGTATGTAGTGGGTTTTTTAAATTGAGATTTTAACTTCTGCCAGCCTAAAGCCTAGTAATGCTTTCTTAGTCCATTTGGCAACTATGTCAGAATACCATAGATTGGATAACGTATAAGCAACAGAAATTTATTTCTCACAGTTATGGAAGATAGCAAGCCCAAGACCAAAGTGCTGGCAGATTCGTACCTGGTGAGGGCTGGCCTTTTTTGTGGTTCATAGATGGTGCTTTCTTACTATGTCCTTATTTGGTAGAAAAGACAAGGAAGCTCTGTGGCCTCTTTTGTAAGAGCACTAATCTTATGCATGAGAACTTCTTTCTCTTGACCTCTCAAAGATCTCCATCTTCTAATATGATCACATTGATGATTACATTTCAACATATGATTTTGAGAGGCAAAGCCGTTCATAACAGATACCACATTTTCACACGTTTAGCTGGTATCTGAACAACACTTTTTGACTATCTGTTTGTCCAAATTATTGCCCTCTGTTTTTATTGTAATTCTTTTTCTCTTAATATTGAGTCAAAAGGGATCTTTGTATATTCTGGATTCAAAGTACTTTCTTAGATGTACACTTTACAGATATTTTCCTCTAGTATGTGGCCGCCTTTTTGTTTTCTTACCAGATCCTTCCAGAGGACAAAAGTATTAAGCTTAATAATATCCAATTTATCAAAGTTTTGAATAATTTGTACCTTTTTTGACCAAAGAAATAAAGTTGCCTAATCCAAAGTCAGAAGTATTTCCTTCTACTCGTTTATTTTAGAAGTTTTGCTAGATTTAGTTTTACTAGGTTTATTTTGAGCTAATTTTTATATATGATTTGAGTTATTGTACTTCTTTGCATATGCCTTTAAAAAATATTTTTTTGCTTGTTGACTTCTTGGCCACTTTTGTTAAAAATAATTTGGTTACAGATTAGTAATACTGTTTCTGGACTATTTTCTACTTTTCTGAATGTCTGTGTTTACATCAGTACAACAGGATTTTGACCACAAGAGTGTAAGTTCTCCTATTTTGTTGTTTTTTATACAAATAATTTTGGGTATTCTAGGTATTTTGCATTTCCATATATATTTCAGAATTAATGTATTGTTCCTACAAAAATTGACTCCTGGGATTTTGATGAGGATTGCATTAAATTGATCTGTAGAGACCAATATGTGATGGATTTACAACTTAATATTGAGTCTTCTGAGCCACAGCATGATATATTTTCTTGTTTACTTAGGCTGTCTACATTTTCTCTTATAAATGCTGTTTAGTTTTTAGTGTGCAGTTCTAACATATTTTTTCTTAAATTTATCACTATTGCATATGTATTGATACTAAGTATTGATCAAATGTAAGTGGTATTATTTTAAATTTACTTTATAATTGTTGATGGGTAAATGTAGAAATACAAGTGATATTTGTGTTTTGACTTTGTATCCTCTGACTTTGCTAATCTAGCTTATTTGTTCTAGTATTGGTGGAAATTTCTTAGAATTTTCTATATAGATGATCCTGTGCATGGCAAATAGAAATAGTTTTCTTTTCAATTTTGCTTTTTCCCCTGTTGCCTTATACTGCCAAACATCTTCAGTATAAGGTAGACTAAAGTAGAGTGC